TTTCGTGGAGAGAGCGATGAAATTAATTTCTTTCGCTAAATATAATTCTCGATTCAATATAATTGAAGCGAATATTTATTTTTATGTCTCCGAGAAAAGCAAATATTCAAATTTCTAACACATTTTTTTGTGCCTAGAAATTAGGTTTTACTCCACAAAACAGTATTTATTATTTGGATTTTGTGGGTATTATACGGAGATTATTGCGAGGTTTACAACACACATGTGTCCAACAGATTATACACACGCACGGAATATATTAGCATATTAAGAATATTCTGTAATGCCAATTGTAAATAAAGCATTTAATTTAACGCATAAATTCCTGGTTTTCTTGATATATTATTTATTTTAAACACTTTTTTATTTGTCTTTTGTTTTTGAATAAAACTCGTCGTCTATTCGTATGAAATGCGAGGAATTTTGATGAAAACTTTCATCCGTTTGAGATGAATAGTAATGATAAATGATTTGCTGAATTCATTTCGTACACAAAAACAATAAAAATATCGATTCGTCTAAAAGTTCTCGTATTTTAAGAAAAGTTTTCATTCAAATAATAAATAATCGATTATTTATTATAATATAAATAATATATTAGTATATATAAAACTTAAAAAACAATATTAAAAAGCACTTTAAGTATAGAATTGCATACAAACCTGTTTTCATAAATATGAGGATTTTAAGATACGATTCTTATATTCAATTTTATTCAATACTTTCATATTTAGAGATAAGGTATAATTCATGGAAAGTAAGCCATTAAGTGTGGGATTGAAAAACAATTTTGAGCCAAAACTCACAAACAAACTCTAATTGAATATTGTTTTCGTATTATGACATAAGAGACTGTCGACTATCATCTGCCAGATTGGAGGTCAAGATCCCATCCCTTTTGAGAGACACTGACAGCTATTTTTCATTACTCTTCACACACTACGCAAATAGACTTAAAACACATTTAACTCTGACATTGAATGCAGTTTACGTGTAACTCAATAAGAGTTTCTACACATATGACCCCGGTTAGGCTGACAGCGCCTGTAGTTTCGCAACTAATGTACAGAAGTCCCTAAAGAATAGCATTCCTAAGCAAATATATTAAATATCATAAACAGTATTGTGTTGACACCGAGTGTCCAGCTTAATGTCAAAGCAATTGATTGACAAAAACATATTTTCGTAACAAAAATATTTTTTTTTCGTTCAATAGTTTTCACAACACATGAAAATCTCAGCTTATTTTAGATGGCATTCAAATGCAAACTTATAGTGCGATCGATTAAATTGTCGCCACTTTAACTACTCAACCAAATAAATGCAATATATGTCCACTTATGGCAACATTTTATGACACTTTTGCCAATACTTTTCAAACTATTGTCTCCGAGAAAAAAATATATTTTTCAAAACTCTATGTTATAATAAGAGTCAATAATTTTCGCCAAAAAACTAATTGAATTATACTTTTCGTGGAAATTCTGTATTTATTTGTTTTTAAAAAGCGTTTTATTATTAGATTTGAAGTGTAGTTTCTGGTGGAGTGATAGGGGGGACAGGGATTACGGTTCGCAAAAAAACTAATTGAATTATACTTTTCGTGGAAATTCTGTATTTATTTGTTTTTAAAAAGCGTTTTATTATTAGATTTGAAGTGTAGTTTCTGGTGGAGTGATAGGGGGGACAGGGATTACGGTTCGCAAAGTAGTCATTCCCATCGCATCTCATAAACTCAACAATAGCTGCAATAATACACGAGTTTTGCAATAATTTATTGCGTTATATAATTGAGTGAAACAAACATTTTTGACAAATCATTTGAGTTATTATTTATTTATCAAAAAANGCAAAGTAGTCATTCCCATCGCATCTCATAAACTCAACAATAGCTGCAATAATACACGAGTTTTGCAATAATTTATTGCGTTATATAATTGAGTGAAACAAACATTTTTGACAAATCATTTGAGTTATTATTTATTTATCAAAAAACCCCATAAAAGTTTAGACAGTATTTGATTTAAAGTCTATTATTATTTTCTGAACTATTTTCAACTCAATGGAGACTTTATCGGCAAATGCCTTAAATTTAATTATAAAAATCAGATCAAACTTTTTTTGATCCCTAGAAATAAACTACAATTTAATAATAACAAAAACACTCTTAACTAATAAGCCATGACTTCTAAGCCAACAGAAGTTTACAATTTGTTATAAAAAAAATTAGTTTGGATTAAAATTACTTATTATTATCAAAAATAATGTAAGGATTCAAGTCTTAAAATGTCATAATTGGACTCACACTCCCATAAACTAAATAAGCATTATTAATATAACAAAAACTAATCGCTAATTAAATATTAATGAGAGAAAACCAGGGGAAAATATTTAGCATTTTTTATATTTTTCATATGAATATTGTGTTAATTTATTTATATTATCTTATTATTACCGTAATTAGCGGTAAAGTATATGGAAAACAAGTTTTTTGTTTTACATTTTCCTATTCTCGTTAATTATTTACAGGCATTTTCGTGTAAAATCTTTACGACTATATGGCAGTACTCGTTGGTAGCCAACTATAATTGGATTTTAATGGAAGGCCTATATTTACATAATCTAATATTTTTGCATATTTTCAATGATAACTCAAGTATAATGAGATATATTATACTCGGATGGGGTAAGCATTCTCATACCTTAGACACTATACATACATATTATGCTAGATACAATTAGATTCGTGGTTATTATACACAAATAATTTATTCTATTATTAAATAACTTCCTGGAAAATTGCTAAGAGATTTTTGTACAAATCTAATGAATAATAATTAAGTTTGGTTATTAAAGTTAGCCCGAGTTTTGCGCAAACTTTTCACTTTATGAATAAAATGCATAAATAATTGATAAAATATAGGTTTATTAATTTATATTTATAGCTAGCTTAGTGTGCACTGTATTCTACCGTATATTGAATTCGTATATGAAGTATAATATAGTTTATTATATTATAATATAAATTGCTTGCTTCATTAACCTTAACTCTATTGTAACACATTTAGACATCTAATCTTTGTACTATATTTATTGCAACCGTATTCTTAGCCTGGATAATCCATAACTCAATTTGCGGTACAATAAAGAAAAACAATAATAGATTTTTAGCTGTAATCTTAGCAATGAGTTAAACATTTAGGCGTATATATCATAATATATTATATCATACATCATGCAAGAATTAACTAACTTATGCGTTCAATATCTACTAATACTTATTTTTAATTAGCATATTTTTACTTATATTACAGGCCTACCGGTCATATTCATAATTCCGTGGGTAGTCATCAGAGCTTTATATGAGGACACACTGTAAGTGGTTTTAAATGTCTGGTTATTTCATATAATAAGCCCTAATATACGGTAACTTACGGTATATTCAGTTGAATCTAAATTAATGGAAAACATATTCGTTAATAAAATATATACAGAATATGATTGGAATTTGTGGACATACAGTGAGGGAGGGCAGGTGTCACATAGTCAATGGACTCATATACAGCCGTACACTAGCCTTAACTAATTAAATGTGCAAGCATAACATAATTTTAAATTAAGATTTATTGGATGGCAAATTATACCAGTATAAATTTTAACTAATTTAGTAGCTGTGTTGACAAAAATAATTATTAATTACATTTGTGAGTAAAATAAATACAGTGTTTTTGAATATTATTGACTAAAATACAATATAAACTTATATTATGTCAAAAATTAATTTGCAAATAAAGTCCATACAAACAACTCTCAAATGAAAGGGAACTGTAGTTTTCCATATAAATCATATGATGAGAATACTATATCTGGAAAACCATGTTTTCACTGAAAACTTTTAAGTAAGAAATTCTTGCGACAAATGATAGTCAACGGCGAAAATATTTGAATAGTACTGCGGAAAGTAATCTCGAAAACAAGAAATAGAAAAATAAATTGTATTAAAAAACAAAAATTATAATTTAAATTCAAATCGAGTTGGGTTTTCGGAGATAAGGTTTTACATTAAATGCATGAATATATCATTTTTCGTGTAATCATATACTCGTATGATATGTGAAACAAAAAAGTGGCAAAATATTACATAAGTATTATTTTATATGACATGAGATGAGAGAGAATTTTAGAAAAATTATAATGTTATGCATTACTTTGAAAAATATCTATTCATTTATTTTGCTTAATATATACGCGAACAGAATATTCTGCGCTAATATAATAAACGCTAATAATATAGTAATAAAATGAGTTATAATGCCATTTTTTTCACTGTATTTAGAAAATTGTCGATAAAATATTACACAATAGGAAACAAAACTGAACAAAAAAATATTAATGATTTGTCTATTTATTTGTTTCGATGCATCAGATGTTGGACGACGAACGAGGATAAGAGAATATTCTGGATAATCAGAGGTCCTATTACTGCGACTATAATAGTAAATATCAATATTTTTTATTCACAATACAGTCTAGAATCGTATTACAGTTTATACATAAGCACCGTATACGGTATTAACAGGTTCATTATAAGCATGATTGCATAGCGCAAAATAATTATACACTATATGAACAAATATTTCACATTTAGTTACTGTAACGGTAATTGTTATAAGAGTTATAGATATAGACTGCGAACCACTATACTAACTATAATTAGAGTCTACTGTAACGGCTATAATAATGTCTAAAACTTGATATCAAATATTATACAAAAAACAAAAGTAATAGAATGACAAAAAAATTCTTACGATATTGTCTATCATATAAAATCTGAATATAATAAGATTAGTTGAATATTCTGTAATACTCTGTATATATATATATATATATATATATATATTTCTATAAAATCAGCTGAACTTCGTATTCTTCATAAACATCACTCGAGTGCTGTTCCTGAAGATGTTCTCGTCATCGGTGTCCGTCCGACAGTACAAATACAGGACGTGGTTTAAGTCGACCTTCATTTTGGTGCCGCTGTTTGGCGTCCACTACATGTTTCTACTGGTGTTCAACTCATTATCGGCCATCTCTTACGACATCTTCGAGATTATATGGCTATATATAGACTTAATGTTCTCGTCGTTTCAGGTATGGCCGCCCATACATACCCTATCCATACATAGTCTCGTGTGTGAAAAAAGCCAATTACTTAAGATTCTGACGGCTATTATGTCATAAACAGTTCGCCAGAAATATCGCTATAATTAGTTACGGAGAATAACACAACACTTATTCGCGTAGAATATTCTGTGGGATAAACAAACGCCAATTAAGTGTTGCATGAAATTAGAGATTTAATTGCACACAACGTATACATTACAGGCACTCCATATAATTTACAGTTATACGTTATGTATTAGGCTTACAATAATAAAAGGGGTAAATTATTATTGCATTAGTAAAATACTGTATCATAGTTGTGATCATTATAGTATGAAATGATTTTACTTAAAATGTTTAATTTTGATTTTTGATTAAAACATGAATTGTCAGTAAGTAAAAGTATAAACAGAAATCTCAATGACATTCAAATGAAAAGTTTTAATATACTTAATTATAGTATGAAATGATTTTACTTAAAATGTTTAATTTTGATTTTTGATTAAAACATGAATTGTCAGTAAGTAAAAGTATAAACAGAAATCTCAATGACATTCAAATGAAAAGTTTTAATATACTTAATATGCATTTCTCTCAAGAATATTGATTTAATAAAAATTAATCTTGACAATATGATTCAATTAAATTTTATTTAGAGAGCTATTCATTAGCTTTATAAATTTGAAAGTAGCTTGTCTAATAATTCAAACATGAATTAATAGTGACCAGTGTCCACAAGTTTATTAAACTTTTCTGAAGTTCATATTTGGTAGCAAGGCATCAGATATACTAATAAATGCTAAATGTTGATCACATAACTTAATTGCCTAACAAGTCATGTAACTTACCTTTTATCGTATTTGCATACGCGATGTGGTGGTGGACAGGGATGTGTAGTGGCGCTGTTGTACTGCTTTTTGAACGGCGAGGTGCAGACAGAGCTGTTGAAACTGTGGCAGTCGTGGACCCATCGGTGCCATACGAAGCCCTCGCCAAACAACGCCCACTCGGGCACCCATATGTCATACTTAACCCAATCGCTAACATACCTGAGCCGCGGGGGCAGGAATTCCTGCTTCTCGACTACGGTCGACGCCGGGATCGGTGGCCGGAAGGACAACGTGACGCACACCCAGTCGTCCCGATCGCCGTCCCCCTCATCGCGGCTCCGGACCACTCAAATTGCGGCCCAGAATACGATTCACTCGCTCAGAGGCGACGACGGGAACGGCATGTCGTCTATTGTGGTCGTATGCGACAAACAGCATCATCTGAACGGTAATAATACCGGCGCTGGTGGTGGGGTCGGTGCCGCTAGTGAGGAGTCTATGATGTAATCATGCTTTTAGATTATTACAGAATATTCCGGAATATTCTCTGTTTTGTCGACATATTTGTTAAATACATTGTGTTTACCAAAGAATTTATGGATTCAATGAAGTTTTTGTTTGTTTTGTGAAATATTATGTTAAATTATATAATATTGTAATAAAACCTAATTATTATTCATATATTGATTGTAAAAAAAGTTAAATTCTTATCATTAATATTGAGCTTAAAGTCCAATTATATAAATATTTTTCATGAATCTATAGTTATATTCGTATTCATAAATATTTCATTAATACATTATTTTAACATTTTTTATTTATTGTTTATCATGTGTTGAGAATATAACTAAATCTATATGTAATAAATGATTAATTGTGAATAAAATACCGCTAATTTATTGTAAATTATTTGTGAGAAGTATTTGTGAAAATGTTTTATTAAGTAAAATATTAATTAAAACAAAATGTAATCGGATGTATCTGGATTAGTTAACTCCAACTATAACATAGATTTGTATTATAAAGTATACGAAATATACTCTGAATATCTCATTAATATGTGCTTAAGTTTGGAGTTTACCATTAAAATAGTTAATCAACAAAATGTTCAAAACAAATAACAATTGTATGAAAATAATGGATTAAAAACGATTTATTATGCGTTGAAAGCAGTGGTGCAGTGATTAACAATTAGTCCCTTTTGTAATGTTATATAAAACCCGGAATTAATGACTGATTCAGAATCCGAGCGCTCATTATATGTTTGAGGGATGGGATGGAAAGGCATGTCATGTCTATATGAGACTAATGTATATTTGATTGATGTAAGCGTATTGTTTGGCCACCACTTAGCCATTTAGGGATTATATTTATTTATATTTGATTTCTTAACTAACTGTTCATATAATAATGTATTGGCACTACTTACAAGGATATGTAATTTTGTTTAAATTTCGTTATTAAATATCTGAATATATATTTTTACATTTTACTATTAAATTATTAACTATTATTATCAGTAAGAGAGAGAGAGAGAGAGAGAGAGAGAGATTAATGAAATAAAATAAATATTTTATTCAAGAATTAATCACTATTTTTTATACAATTTACATGGAATTAGTTATTAATTAGCCATTAATAATAAAATAATAGTTTTAAATAAATGTAAAGTACCGTACATGCACAATTAGTGTATGGGTAAAAAATAACTAATATAACTGATAATAATAGGCTAATAATTTAATAGTAAAATGTAAAAATATATATTCAGATATTTAATAACGAAATTTAAACAAAATTACATATCCTTGTAAGTAGTGCCAATATTTATTATCGATACGGTATGTATTTTGTAATTATATAAAATATATTTTTAAAAGCAATATTTAAAATTACATAATAATATTCTGTCATGTTAATATAATGCACGCGGACAGGCATTCATGTTGGGACTGGTAGCCAAACTTATCGCCATAGTGTATACAATCAGATTTATATGACGTATCCATTAGGCGGACACTAATCCGCTTGTACTCCAGAGAAATGTCAGTAAATGTCGTGTTTATCATTTATCATCCCGATTGTTGTGGTTGCGTAATGACTCTATTTCTGGGGTGTAGGTGCAAGTATACGCTGTTGCCAAATGTGGTCGCGTTCATAGACACCATATAATGTAATTCAAGAGGCTTCATCTTGGTCATTTTTAAATGGTCTCTCTTTTCGATGAGATAGTGGTCATCGCTTTCACCGTTCAGTTGCGAGAATAATGTCATACAATAAAAGTTGTCGCTTATCGCTGACCGTATGGGCGTTATGTCCGCACATTTCACATACCCTTCCCGTTCGCTGGCGTTTAAGTGTTGAACTAAATGTGGTTTACTTACCAAACAATTGTCGCCAAATATATCGTCCGGTGTTTGAAGAGCATTGAATTGTTCACGAATTGATAGGCTATTCAAGTACTCGGAGATAATTCTTGATTCTGTTCTCCAGTCATAACTTGTGTTAAAGAATATTCTGTGTTTAATGTCTGGTTTTAGATACAAGTGTTTTGTGGTGCAAATGGTGATCGCCGGCAGGGATTCATAATCGGAGTCCTCGAGGTTGAGATCAGTTGTGGTTTCATACCAGAAGTATGTGTAACCCATGTATACAAATAAAATAATCGGATATCCATCCGATTAGACACAACACTTTTGGTATATTTAGATTTAGCGGAGTGTCTATTAATTTTACCGTGACCCTTTCATAGTTATTAATTCTGATCAGTTACATTTTTGAATCTATGTCCACCAAATTATTTACTCTCGACAAATACTGTGTGAATACCAAAGTACTAAAAGTTATGCTTTTTTATTAAGAATAATTAATCCAAAATCTATATTTAGTGTATTTGTAACAGTTGAATTATAAATTAATAAGTGTTTTGAAAACAGAATTTTATTAGAAAATTCATTAGGTAGAATAATTAGAGTTGTTTACAATTAGCAAAAGTTCTACATCATTGTTGAAACATTATTTATTTATTTATTTTGAATATAACTTACATGTTATGAAACAATTGATGTTTCTTACACTAATTTAATGTTTTGTAATTTATATAAATGCTATTTTATAACTAAAGGTAGTAAGCAACTTTATTTTAAATGTCCTAGATTCATTTTATAGCATTATTTAGCATTGTTCATTGGGTTTTAAAAATAAATACATACATTAAATTAGATTTATTAAATTAAAAATAAATAAATACATAGGCACTTTGAAGTTTTACTAAAATATTTTAATATCAGTACTAAATTTAATTTTAATCATAAATACTTAATATTAGTATATTTTTCATGTGTAGAATTAATTTGTAAAATGTAAAAATTATAATTTTAGACTATATGATATGATTTTAACTGTAGAGCATACATTTATTTTTCAGTAGTTGTAATAATTTCAGTGAAAATATTTCACTTTGGGTTAAATAAATAAGTTTATAGTGTATTTTCTATATTAAACTGTGATTAAAATTCTAATAAACTCTTATATTTAAACTGATTTTTATAATCAAACCTCATAACTTAATAATATAACTTTAAATATAATGAAAATTAAAATTATAATAGTTTTTAAAAACTGCACATTTTATACACATCTATTCCTACATTTCTTTTTATTAAATATATTACCTGGGTGGTGAAGTTCATTAAAATACTGTTATTTCATTCGTGGCATTCATAATAATGGAATTCTATATATTAAATTATATCGATGAATTATATACATGATAATTTTTAAAAATTTTAATATCTCAATTGTACTTATTATGTAAAACTATTATTATAAATAATTTAAATTCATTTAATGATTAAAAAGGCAATTAGGTAAGCAATTCTACTATAATATAATTTAACAAATTAAATTTTCACTCTTAAATAAAATATTTGTAATTCTTTAATAATAATATAATATAATAATGTAATACTTGTAATTTACTTATTATATAATCATATTTTATTTTTAATTTACTGCGGTATGACTATAATAATAATTTATTATTAATCAATAGACTGTAATAATCAAAATCATTGGACTGTCTCTCACAATAAAAACCTTAAGATAAGGGAAAGGTATGGGTCAGTGGTGTTGGCATATAAACCGGCATTCAGTGGACACATAAACCATAGCCTAAACACAGAAATCCTAATCAGACATAACCAGCGAATTAGTGATCCGTAAGACTATAATTGAACGTAAGATTAGATTCCGGATTCTGTGGATACAAGCCGTCAGAATAGGCATACATTGCATACACAGAGCACAGGCTGTCTGCCAAAGGGGACGACTGTTTGCAAAGCAAACGTATGGCTCATTGGGCGACATCTGACGTGCGAAACGTGTGTTTTAAAGGGAAAAACACAAACGAAAAGCACTTTTCGGATATAAAAACACATTTCGTAATGAGTTTTGAATGCA